AGCAATGCAATGTTACTGCTCACAAAATCTTTCTCCATTTTATTATTGCAGAAAATTGTTATAATATTATAAATAATTAAGGCAAAAAAAGGCACCAGAGACACGGAAGTGCGTATAGAATAACACGTATATACAATGTGTTCAAAGTGGTCGACCTCCTCGTTCGCCGGACGTCACTCCACTTGATTTTTTTTGTTTCGGGACATTCCAAAACTTACCAGTCTACTGGCGAATTTTTAATACTGAGAAGACTAGTTCTTGATGCATTTGAAAATATTACGTCTGATATTTTAAGAACTGTTTTAAATTCGACAGTCACAAGGTGTTATCTGTGTTTGACAATTAAGTTTGAACATTCTTTATAATAAATAAATACTAAAGACCCATTTATATATATATATATATATATATATATATATATATATATATATATATATATATATATATATATATATATATATATATATATATATATATATATATATATATATATATATATATATATATATATATTCTCACAGATGGAAAAATGTGATGAAACTATATTCCGGGATATCATCCGTTCGCTTGCTGAACTCCGACTGGAATCCTGCAGACGTTTCCCCAAAATCTCACTTGCCATCTTCAATGCTCGCGCTCCGAAAACACTTCGAAGTGTTTATATTATATGTTATATATTAGGTATTTAGTTATGTGTGTTCTATAAGATTTTTATATTTTTTTATAGAGCTAGATCGTGAGTGTTATGTAATCTTTTTTTGAGAGCAAATTGCCCCTTTTTTATCTTCCGGGTCTAGTCTAATACGTTTCTTTGCGTATTTGCCTCTCACTTATTGGTAGTTCATTGTTGTTATCTGACGTTTCATCTGAATATAAAAAAAAAATATAACCACAAAATGCGACCAGTTGATGAGCTCTACTTTATAGAATATTTTGAACCTGTAATTACATTACAACAAACCACGGTGAGTCTTTAAAACGATGAATTAGTGTATAGTTGGTTGCCTACACGCATTGCGGAAAATTTGTGGAAACTGCTGCGCAGACGCGATTTATCCATGGGTGGCAGTCGTTAAGTAGGGCTTATGATCGATGTGTCGTCGTAATAAATGGACGCCCACGCCCACAACTGATTCGAAACGTTGATAAAAACGATACTGTTATAACGATCACTGATACAGGAATGCATAAGGACTGGTTGTCTTGTTATCCAATTTATGTGTTCGCTTTTGCGGTTGCCAAAGTTCAAAATCGTTAGGCTTAGGTTTCATTTGATTGTACGGACCCGTAAAGGTTTGCAGTAGAAAAAAAAAAGTTCTGGCGTTGTTTATATATAAGCAAAATGCTACGGGAAGAAGAAAAAGCACGCAAGATGTGACTACTAACCCAACTTTTTTCTAAAGCTTTAAACATATTGATTTAATACAGTTTTATGAGCCTTTAACACCCTTTAGTTTCACTTCTAGGCTATTATTTAATAATTACGATTGCTTTTTATATGCATCTGTTAATCTAATTAATAATAAGTTAGTTGACAGTTTATATGTTTTCATATTTCATATTTCATTTCATATTGAGCGTTTTAAAAATATAATATTTAATTTATTAATACAAGAATAAATAATAATAAGTAATAAATGAGATGTTGTCAGAAGTTAAATTTAGAGGTTTTATGGATTTCACAAACATTTTATATAAATAATGTTACGAATTTACCTGATGTTGAAAAATAATAAATGAATAAAAAAATGTTAAATTAAAAATATATAAAAAATAGGCCATTTTAGAACCTAATTTCAAAAGCTGGTAAATTGTATCAAAAATAATCAATAATAAATAATAAATTAGATATTGCCAGGAGATCGATTTAAAGGTTCACAAATATTTTATAAAAATAATTTTACGAATTTGACTTATGTTGAAAAATAATCAAGGAATAAAAATATAATAAATTTGAAATATGTAAAATGCAGGACATTTTAGAACCTAATTTCAAAAGCTGATAAAGTTTAACAAAAATAATTAATAATAAATAATAAATTAGATATTGCCAGAAGATCGATTTAAATGTTATAAAAATAATTTTACGAATTTGACTGATATTGAAAGATAATTTATGAATAAAAAAATATTAAATTAAAAATATATAAAAATAATGTGGCGGTTTATAAAAATAATTTTACAAATTTGACTGATGAAAGAGAATTTATGAATAAAAAAATATTAAATTAAAAATATATAAAAATAATGTGGCGTTTTATAAAAATAATTTTACAAATTTGACTGATGAAAGAGAATTTATGAATAAAAAAATATTTAATTAAAAATATATGTAACATATGCCATTTTAGAACCTTACTTCGAAATCTGTTAAGTTGATACAAAAATCATAAATAATAAATGAGAATTTTATGAATTTGAATGATGTCGAATAATAAGTAATGTATCAAAAAAGATAAAATAAAAAATATATAAAATATACGCTATTTTACATATTTTTCAAAATCCGGTCCATTAAAATTTTCCTCACAAAACTTTGTTTACTCTAAGCTACTACTACTACTGAAATAAATAAAACAAAACTAACGTCCGTGCATTGTATGTATCTTTACTATGGACATCACACAAAAATTTCGGTACCTTATAGAAAGATAATTAGGAAAGAGTTTTGATTTTTGTTAATACATGCATTTTTCAAAACCAAATGTTACGTCTTACACACTAATCTACAAATACATAAATAAAAATTATTTAATAATTATATACTGATTTTTTTTTATTTTAATTTAACAAATATTAATATATAATTTGTGATGCAATCGAAATTGATTACAATAAAGTGAAAGGAAAAAAATGAAGAAGAAATAAGAGCAATAAAAAGAAATTTTAAGCGATATGGATATTAAAAATAGCATCCCAGGCAATAAATTCTCCTTGGCGTAAAAGCATAAGCATAAGCAAAGCATAAGAGTAAAACTATATACGGCAATAATCGAGCTTATGCATGCTAGCAATTGCCGAACTATATAATCCAAAAAATTATTGAAAAAAGTTGTTTTTACTGTATTTCGAAAAATTTGATATTTTTTTTCAAATTTTGAAAACCTATTTTTTATTTGCTCTAATTTACTTCAATAAAAAAAATTCTTTAAACATATACTTGATTTGACCTATAAAATGGGTTAACCCTAATAGAATGTTGATATACATAAAATCAATTAATGAAATATATAACTTATTTTTGTCCCATCTTACCAGGCTTGATTCACACGCACAATACGATTCAATTTTCTTGACGCGATGGTGGACACGTTTCGCGGCAAATGGAAGAGTCCAAAGTATTGTATTTAAGTGATAAGTCTGCGAAGAGGAATCCAATAAATCAGATATTGACAGAAGATCGATTTTAAGATTTAATGTATTTCACAAACATTTTATAAAAATAACTTTACGAATTCGACTAATGTTGAAAGATATTTTATGAATAAATAAACATTAAATTAAAAATATATAAAAAAATAATGCCATTTTGTAAAAATAATTTTACGAAATTGACTGATGTTGAAAGATAGTTTATAAATAAAAAATATTAAATTAAAAAAATATAAAAATAAATAATGCCATTTTATAAAAATAATTTTACGAATTTGACTGATGTTGAAAGATAATTTAACTATATATAAAATATAACTGACTTTTTGTTCGTTTTAAATCCTCAAATTTACATATAAATATTTCCTTGCACATCTACTTTAGGCAAAAAATGAGGGTCACATGAATATCATCAATTTAATTTGTTCAGCACCTTCTTAAGCCGCATGGCGTCAATTTTTGTGGGCAAGGAGAAGAGTTATTCCATAATTATTCCTCTCCCCGTCCCCCTCCCCTTCCACCATTTGTTACTGATAGAAGATAACAGTCGAACGGGTTCAGTTATGGCGATCACAGATTATGACAACGACGAGGTGCCTTTAACTAACCATTTTTCTATTAACTCGGAAGATTTTATCGCCGAGGTAACGGTTACCTCCGGATGAAATAAGAGGAAAATCGAAATATTGGGATGTTATCGGCGGGTCCGGAGCGAAGTCGAACGACGAATCACCTTCAAAATCTAAAGGTCGACGTACACGGTGTCCTATTCACGGATTTCGAGCGTTCGTTATTTCATTATGTTATATATTTTGTTAAAACGTTTAATATACATGGCGTTCCAATAAAAAAAAATAACTTGTATCTCATCCTGCATACAACTTTTTTATTTGACTTAAAATGGAAAAAGTCATAGGGGAGGGACGTTATAAATGATCATCCGGTACAATGATTTCGTCGGCTCACGAAATATCCTAATCCTAGGATAATATTTCAAAATTGGCCCTATTGGAAGTAGTATACTTGCACCAGAAATATGGTGCTTTTACAACGGACCCCGTTATTAAATTTGCCTATTGATTATTACTCTAAAACCGGAACCCCTGCCGAGCAGACCCTTAACTAACTTAAGGACCGTCCTAGGAATTTATCTACCTACGCTAACAAGCGGAATATAAGTGTGTTTTCAATCTTAAAACATGTACAAATCAGCACAAAGCAACAATTTATTACGTTTTATTTCATCACATTTCTACATAGTATATTTATTAATACACAATATACAGTACTTTTTTACGCAGTTCTTCTAGGATTAAAACACTATTCACCTTATAAATAAACATTAATAATTATAAAAATTATTATTTATTATATTAATTAATTAATTATTATTTGTTATTAATAATTATTAATGAGGTTCGTATGACGTTTCGTGTTTCGGCAAGCCATCATCAGATTTTTCTTTTTTTTTATTTTGAACACACTCAGAAGTGCGGAATTATGGATTTTTATGCAAGGTGTTCTCCCATTTAAAAAATATCTGCTACTATTATTGTTATTCACTAAACTGTAAATTGTTAATAATGATAAATAAATAAATTTTCCGTCAATTGAAAACATTCTTCTAGATCGTACCGCCAAAACTGACGATCTGATGGCTTTCGCACCCCCGTACCGCCGCCACTGTCGTCGCGCAGCTCCGGTACCGGTCCATTCCGGTTTTCCGCCATTACAATGATGCCGTCGAAGTCCACCCCCGACCTCCACCAGTCGAACAAGCACTTCGCCGCCCATCAGTATCGCCAGAAGACCAGTGGCGACGCCACCGATCGAACGGCGACGAGAGATGACGACTCGCCGCCTCCGGAACCGCCCGTCCGTGACTCTTCGTCCCTCAAGGTAAGTTCCGGGCGGGTCCGGGACCACTGACCTTGCATTTACCGCCCCGGCAGTCGATCAAGTACGGTCCTGGACACGAGAAGTTCCCGTCTTGGCCAGTGCCGGCGGCAGCAGAAGTGTCCGGTCGCCCCGCCCCCTCTGGTGGCTCCAGCAGGTCCAAGTCTTGGACCGACCACACCAACTATCCCAAGGAGAAGGTGGTCCAATACATCAGGCCCTACATGAAGCGGCAACATTCGGCTTACGCTCAGCAGGTACATGCCTTGTTTAATATTATTATTAATATATAATATAATATATTATAATATATAATAATTATAATAATGATGATAATAATAATAATAATAATAATAATAATACCAATAATATATTTACACCGTAAAACTACATAAATTGCGGAAAAGGAGATGAAGCAGTTATAAAAATGCAAAAGAAAATGCATATAAGTATACATAAAAAGTTTGAAACTGAACATTTTTAATTAAAGGTTAATTAATTGAAGGCTTTTCAAAAAATCTAAGGCACAAGTTGCGAACAGCTGTCTTAAACGTCATTATATTCAACCATCTGACAGTTTGTGAGACTGGATCATATTTTCTTATCCCCTTATACTTTTTGTACCCTCTCAATTATCCAAGGGTGGACCATATAAAATGTCACAATAGTTGAAATAATTTAGCAGTGTCCGTTAATTTTGTTTTTTTTTAAAATAATACCTCAGCTTCCTATTCGAAATGATCGTCAGTGTTAATTTTTAAGCCAAGTTTTTTTTGCCAATCTTTTAAATTATAAAACTCTATGCACCCACATATGTGTTAATCAAAATTAAAATTAAATTATTTAATCCAATTAATTGAAAAAATGATTATTTGCATTAAATTATTAATTTAATTAATTTAATGTAAATAATTAAATTAATTTACCAACTAATTTATTAATAAAATTAATTAATTTGTCAAATTAATTAATTTAATTAAATAATTACATAAAATTATATAATTAAATTGGTTAAGTTGATTGACTAATTCTAAATTTGATAGTTTCCGAAATATTTCTTAACTTAAACGCAATATGAGAACTTATAATTGAGATAGGTATAATATAATTGCTCAATTGTTCAATGCATATGAAATATGTTTTGCGTAACCTGTCTAATGCGGAAATGATGGATTCCGAATATTTTTCATTTTTAATTTGAACTTCTATTCTAATCCGGTTTAGTAGATATTCTTTGTTTTCCATGGTATTTGAATTTACGCGATTTTTTAGTGATTTTGGTATAAATCCATACAATTGGAACTCAGCCATTTGTACTTGTATTTGAGGTTATTTTCCCCATATGTTAAATAAAAAAAAGTAAAGTAATAATTTTTTGGGGCAAATAAAGGTATAATGCAAAAAAATGCCATTAAATTTCAAAATCGCTCAAATTGGGTTTCAAAAACTATGAGAAAATGGTAGACACAAATGTTGTAAAGAATGATGGTGTGGCTTAAAGAAGCTTAACAAATAAAACATACTTTTCTTTTAACAATCAAGTTTTGTTTTGAAATTCTTCACCTTGATTATTAATAATAATGCATACCTAAACATAATTGTTTTTCCAAAATTTTATTTAAAAAAAAACCTAGTTTTCACACTTGCAAAAGAACTACTTCGATTTAATGAATGAATGTTCCAAATTTGGATAAAAATGTTTCATTAATGCATAACTTTTCAAAAGCATTCGAATATCGATCAATCTCTCTCTACATAATAGGCAGCACGTTTTTAGAACTGATAATGTTATACCAGATTCTGGTAAAGTTACTCCAGGAGTGCCGCAGGGTTCCGTTATTGGACCCCTGTCGTATCTCTTGATATGTTGTCCAGATTCGCTTATTTAATAAATTATACTATTTGCTCCCCATAGAAGTTACAATTTTTTGAAGACGAAGATCTTAGATTTGCAAATGAAGCAAAATAATTGCAATTAAATATAAATACAAAATATTATATAAACATATGAGTGTCTAATCTGGTAACTATACTAGATGAGCAAACAAAAAAAGCTCAATACTATCAACAGTAAAAAAAACATTTTCTAAAATTAAATGTGACGCACGAGCTTGCTGCCTGTTTGCCGAATAATTCTGAAAAATGGCCGTTCGAAGACGAAAAGGTGGCGATAACTAATGGATATTGTTCGGCCTTTAATTGTCGGTTATTAGGGAACAATTCTCAATATCTGGCACGATAATAATTGCAACGTTTCGTTAAATTAACTAGAGTAATTTCTGAATCTACTCGCGCGAGGTCGGCCCAGTAGCGCACGTCGAGTTTTTGCAGTCTAAACCAGCGAACGGTAATCACGAATTTTTTGTTACTGTTGACAGTGTTGATTTTTTGTCTATTGTAGTCACCATATTAGACACTCAACTCCCACACGATATTATCGTAGACATTTATAGTAGTCAGTTTTAGAACAAGAAAGCCAATTCTTTTTTTTTACTGTTGAGAGTGTTGAATTTTTTTTGCTTGCATGTCTATTGCAGTCACCAGACTAGACACTCAACTTCCCTAAGGAATTATCAAAGGCATTACATTAGACATTTTGATTTGTGGTATTCAGTTTTTGATCGAAAACGACTTTTTTTTTAACGTAGACAGTATTTGAGTTTTTTTGCTTGCTTGTCTATTGTAGTCACTAGGCTAGACATTCAACTCCCTTAAGATAGACAATACATTAGACATTTACATTTGTAATACTCAGTATTAGAACAAAAAAAAAAACAATTTTTGAGGGTGTTAAGTTTTTTGCTTACTTGTCTATTGTAGTCACCAGGCTAGACACTCAACTCCCATTAGACATTGCCATAGACATTACATTAGAGATTTACATCCATTGTACACAATTTTAGAACAGGAAATCCATTTTTTTTACTGTTGAGAGTGTTTAATTTTTTTGCTTGCTTGTCTGTTATAGTCATCAGGTTTGACACTCCACTCCTTTTATATATTATCATAGACCTTACAATAGAAATATTGCCCTGCCCTGCTTCATACTTAACTTCCTTTAGATATTATTATAGACATTTACATCAATCTTACCAAACTCTGATTTTTAATATTTTACTAAAATAAATGATTTATTAAATTACAGACATAGGTAATTGTCTGTATCCGTATCATTTATAATTAATTGTTATAAAATTAAATTAAAACAAACAAGAGAACTAAAATGATTCGCCTTTTTCGATTATTTGGGCAGCCTTTGCAAAATGTTTACCAAAGTTATATTCAATATATTGGTTTCCTCGCACCAATCGCGTAACTCTAATTTTCGTGGAGCACATTTTAAGACTATCTACCACTTACTACTGAAGTTAAAAATGCGAAATGTAGAAATCTTCTAGAACTGGGAAATTGCCATGCCATACCATGCCTATTTCGCTTTTCGTACCTGAGTAGGTGATGTTTTGCTCACTTTTATTATACCTATCACTACCTATTCCTCCAGCTTATTCGAATGGAATGGAGATGCCTTGAGTGGCTTTTATGATGGTAGTTTTATTAATTCACTTAGTTTGGCTCGTTCAATAGTAACGCGGTCTACGCCGCTGGTCGGCTATTACGTAGCGTCGGCTCCTTTTCATCCTTTGCAGAGCGCGCTTTTTTGTCGAACGCACAGAAGTTGTAATTAAGATAGCTGCTAAATTGGACTTGGCTATAATAGCGAAACCGCTTTTTTTTTTCGGGGGTCAGCGAAGAATGTTAACAGTCGAAAACTTCGCGATTTTTTCGCGAAGCGACGTCGTTAAAGCGTTTTTTCGAGGAAAAACTCACGCGTAGACAGAGACGGAGAGAGTGCAGCCGTGTTGCGTGTCAAAAGAATTGAACCGCAGCCAACGTTGCCAGATGGGTGGTGACAGTTTTGGTTAGTTGCCAGATGGGTAGTGACAGTTTTCGTTAGTTTTGGTTAGTTGACAAATGGGTAGTGACAGTTTTGGTTAGTTGCCAGATAGGTAGTGACAGTTTTGGTTAGTTTTGGTTAGTGACAGTTTTGAGGAGGCTATAGCAACAAAGATGTTCGTTATTGATGCCCCATTAGTTTAGATAGATGAATGACGCACAGCTACACGGCAACATCATATTTTTAGATTTAACAAGACTGCTTTCGAAAAATCGTCGGTGAGCGGGGCGAATGCGTAGCACGTACGGAACCTTCGCTTAGTGAATGGAATTTTATAGCGCACGCACCCCGTATAAATTGTCTTTCACGTTTGACTTCAAAGGCAGGCCAATTGATAGATATTAAAATTTGTTGGGCTGAGGTGGCTTTTACTTAACGAAAATCCATTTAACACAGTTAAATTAGACCAAAAAATATGCAGATTTTCACAGTTATTCATTCATATTCAAAAAGTGATGACGTTTGCAGACGTTGCAGACGTTTCGCCAAGATCTTGAACTTCGAACACTCGGAGCACGAGCATGTGTTGTATTTTGATCTCGAGATTTTCTCATCTTCTCTCACCTTTCTCTTGACTATCTCATTTGCAACAATTTTTCTTACAGTTGACTTCGAAACTTTGGTCATGTCACTTGTTTTTATGGCTGCTCCTACTTCCCTATCTGAATTGTTTATACAATTGTAAACATTCAAAACAATTTGCTGAGGTAGTTCGTCTTCTAAATTGGCGTTAGATTCGACTACCACCTCCACTTAGTCTTCAAATTATGCGTTGTTGTCCATGTCTTCTCCTAACAGGGGAACATGTGCTTCATTCCACGGTCTCCACATTTTAAAGTGTTAAAAAACAGGAAAGTTCAAAAAATGTGTAATTGTAAGATTCTAATAAATATTTTTTCTGTATTCTTATAACGTTCCTGTATCTACCGCGAATATACTCTATAGTCTTAAAAAAGGCTGTTGTTGTTAACAAATCGAAGAACAATGTAGAAGACACAAAAATACCAGAGCACGGGTGCTTACGCTAACCCTTTGAACTATCCGGTGAAAAGAGCCTCGCAGGATCAAAGCTCGAGAATCAGGTACATAAATACGTACTTCTGGAAGTATCACAGTCAAATACCTCCGTAATATATACGAACATATTGCAAATTAGATTAAACTTTTAAGAACGATGCACACGACCGAATGTTAAAATAAAATAAACGCTTCCGCTTATTCGAAATTTAAAGCGGGTCATTTACTTTTCAATAAAAAATTGTACAAATATTCGTTACGGTCCATCTCATTGAAGACCTATTT